AAAAATAAAATCCCAGCAGAAACAAATTTACTAGGTATTTTAGTTGATATTACAAATTAAATTGTAATAATTAAGAAACTAGATAAAATTTTAAAAAAATAGCATGTCAATTGAGATTATTACAAGTTACCTAATAAATTCTATTAGTTCTACAGCAAATTCAGTCGTCTACAATCGAAAATTTTTCCATTGTTATAAAAATTTAGTTTTCTGCGTGCCCTGTAGATTAAAACTATGTTTGAGGTTGACAGGATAAGAGTTGATAGTTTTATTTTTAACCTTTTTTGATTCCCACTCCTCCAGCTTGCGTAAGTCAACTATCTGTATTGTAAAAGTGAAAAATAAGAAACAGAATCTGTAAGTAATACACATTATTTTCCAGAGGTATTTTGATGTAAGATAATTTTCGATATCTTTAAAGATTCTTTACTTTAGAAAATGCACAATAAGCGTTATTTGAAACAGAGGGACTATTCAGTCGGAATCAGTGCCCACGTTTGACGACGCTGCATAAATATTTTAATGTGTTTTCTGAATCATCGTCACTCAACTGAATTTTCACCAAGTTAATTTTATTTTGTAATCTGAAACATTTTTTTATAGAATAAGCAATTTGATAACAATGAGAATATGTTGTCAGTTTTTCTGAATTTGTATCTAAATTCGAATTAAATTTATTATTGATATAACTTTCTTCTTGAATTAAAACAAGTCGCGCAATAATAGCGTCTTTATTTAATTCTGAACTTACAATTTCCATGACTGACTCGTTCTATTTTTCTTGATTGTATATAATTATTTTTCAACAACTCTAGAATCACATACATCAATCTTTGTCTTTCTTTTTTTTATATAAAGAAGTCACTCTATGCTCGCGAGCGGTTAATTTGGAAATTCGAAAAAGATTGTGTAAGGCTGTATGTTTGGAGCGCGGTGCTGTAAGGGTGCGAAACATGGATGGTATAGGCGGCGAAAAATAAAAGGTTAGGTTAGAAATGCAGAGGTATTAGAAAGAATAGGAGAACTGGGAACTGGTAGGACACCTTCTCTGGCATGAAGATCTAGTCAGAGACATATTAGAGGCAGAAACGGGAGTTAGAAGGGGTAGAGGTAGACATAGATTAGATTACTGTTCGCAAATAGTTAACGATGTGGGCTGTTCTAGTTTTGGGGAAATGCGAAAATTAGCTTAGGATAGGAAAGGGTGGAGGTGTGTATCCAATCAGTCTTAGGACTGACGACTTTGTGATAATGATGAGATGCGGATAAGAATGTGAACTTTAGTGAGCTTAATCTTGCGGATGCGGAAGAGGATGAGGATGAGTAGATGGATTAAGGTTAGGGCTTTCGATAAGGTCATTACGCTCATGTTTATGTATAGCTCATCGAACCCAAAAAAAAAATATTTTAAACAAATGTAATATATCGTCATGAACTTTGACACCAGACAGTCTTTTAATAATTTAATTTAACAATAACATGTCAAAAATCTTTCTGACAAACATGACATTTCATAGAGATAAATAAATATAAAACTTGAGCTCTTGGCCTTTTCAGGTCAGTTTAGGTCATATGTAGTACGTATAAACTGGATTCAGTTAGAGTCTTACAGCACTGGAAACTCACTACGTTCGACATTCAACTTTTGTAACTTGCAGCGGTCTATTTTCGAAGTACAATATATTCATTTCAAGAGTCGTTCTAACTTCAGCTTCAACTTCAAGATATATAGCAACAACGTATAGTTTTTTTTTCTAGGAAATTCATGGATAGCTCGCCGCTCGGCCTAATGTTAACCATCATTTCTCAACATATCGTGTTTCCTGTTGTAGCATTGTAGAACAACAAATACCCGCTAAATATCTTAATCAGAATGTGCGAATCTGGATGAGAATGCGGATTGTAAATAATTTAACTTTGCAGATATTAAAATTCCTGCGGATCTTCCGCAGTTGCAGGTGCAAATGCGGATATCTGTTACAGCCCTAATGTAAATCTTTATTATCAATAATTCCTCTTCAAATTTAATCGAGTGTGTTATCAAGAATAGGATATGTAAAAAAACCTGCAGTTTATTCCGCATGTATCACTCGTTACCAATTTTTGGAGATTCATATGAATCGTCATATGAGAATGTTTTCTGTCACCATCTCTAATACCAATCTCATGTGCATCAGCATCTGCTTAGTCTAGATATCGCCACATTGCTAAAGAATTGTTTATATTATCAAATTCCATTGGTTATTGATAATGTAGTTAATAGAATTTTATAACTATTAATTGTTGTTTCTTAATATTTCTGAAAATTCCAGTAAGTTTAGATATTTTTTTTTNGTAAATTATACTATCAATGTTTAATTTATTTTTGTCAGCATAATGAAATGTAATAGGTTCTTTATAATCTGCTGATGTATAGTTTCAAGAAGACCTAACGTTTCATAATAGTTGCGAATTTCTGATTTACTTGGCTTAGATATACGGGTCCAGAATATAATGTGGGGGTACCTGAGTACGGTGAGTAATTCCGGAACGGCGCTATCGTACTTGTTCGGAATTTTACGACATTTTTTAATCACATACATGAAACATCAAGTGTCATTGAATTTATATTTCTGGATTTACATCGAGAAACTTCGTACATACATGTTTCCCTAAATTTACGACCTACCCTAAAAATAACCGTTTAATCTAAAGATAATACTGGGATTGATTGATGTTTTATGGAAGTATCCGAACGGCGAAATGTGTCTACAGCTGGGCACCATTTTTAGCATTAAACATGGGCCATGTTCGGCTTTTGTTCATATTTTTCTGAAATTTCATATCGGTTTATTTCAAAAGCAAGAAAAGTACGAATATTTGGTCTAATTACCCTGTTTGTTCTGTTCTCCCACGGAGAAAATGAAAAAGGAAAATTTACCTAAATATTAAAGCGATATTTACAATTTATCCCACTAGCCCGTTGCTTTGTAAATGAAAGTAATTAAATTTACAATTTGGATCCCAATTTCTGAAAATTAAATCCCAGCAGAAACAAATTTACTACGTATTTTAGTTCATATTACTAACTAAATTGTAATAATTAACAAATTTGAAATAATTTGCGTTGTCATAAAAATTTAGTTTTCTGCGTGCCCTGTAGATTAAAACTATGTTTGAGGTTGACAGGATAAGAGTTGATAGTTTTATTTTTAACCTTTTTTGATTCCCACTCCTCCAGCTTGCGTAAGTCAACTATCTGTATTGTAAAAGTGAAAAATAAGAAACAGAATCTGTAAGTAATACACATTATTTTCCAGAGGTATTTTGATGTAAGATAATTTTCGATATCTTTAAAGATTCTTTACTTTAGAAAATGCACAATAAGCGTTATTTGAAACAGAGGGACTATTCAGTCGGAATCAGTGCCCACGTTTGACGACGCTGCATAAATATTTTAATGTGTTTTCTGAATCATCGTCACTCAACTGAATTTTCACCAAGTTAATTTTATTTTGTAATCTGAAACATTTTTTTATAGAATAAGCAATTTGATAACAATGAGAATATGTTGTCAGTTTTTCTGAATTTGTATCTAAATTCGAATTAAATTTATTATTGATATAACTTTCTTCTTGAATTAAAACAAGTCGCGCAATAATAGCGTCTTTATTTAATTCTGAACTTACAATTTCCATGACTGACTCGTTCTATTTTTCTTGATTGTATATAATTATTTTTCAACAACTCTAGAATCACATACATCAATCTTTGTCTTTCTTTTTTTTATATAAAGAAGTCACTCTATGCTCGCGAGCGGTTAATTTGGAAATTCGAAAAAGATTGTGTAAGGCTGTATGTTTGGAGCGCGGTGCTGTAAGGGTGCGAAACATGGATGGTATAGGCGGCGAAAAATAAAAGGTTAGGTTAGAAATGCAGAGGTATTAGAAAGAATAGGAGAACTGGGAACTGGTAGGACACCTTCTCTGGCATGAAGATCTAGTCAGAGACATATTAGAGGCAGAAACGGGAGTTAGAAGGGGTAGAGGTAGACATAGATTAGATTACTGTTCGCAAATAGTTAACGATGTGGGCTGTTCTAGTTTTGGGGAAATGCGAAAATTAGCTTAGGATAGGAAAGGGTGGAGGTGTGTATCCAATCAGTCTTAGGACTGACGACTTTGTGATAATGATGAGATGCGGATAAGAATGTGAACTTTAGTGAGCTTAATCTTGCGGATGCGGAAGAGGATGAGGATGAGTAGATGGATTAAGGTTAGGGCTTTCGATAAGGTCATTACGCTCATGTTTATGTATAGCTCATCGAACCCAAAAAAAAAATATTTTAAACAAATGTAATATATCGTCATGAACTTTGACACCAGACAGTCTTTTAATAATTTAATTTAACAATAACATGTCAAAAATCTTTCTGACAAACATGACATTTCATAGAGATAAATAAATATAAAACTTGAGCTCTTGGCCTTTTCAGGTCAGTTTAGGTCATATGTAGTACGTATAAACTGGATTCAGTTAGAGTCTTACAGCACTGGAAACTCACTACGTTCGACATTCAACTTTTGTAACTTGCAGCGGTCTATTTTCGAAGTACAATATATTCATTTCAAGAGTCGTTCTAACTTCAGCTTCAACTTCAAGATATATAGCAACAACGTATAGTTTTTTTTTCTAGGAAATTCATGGATAGCTCGCCGCTCGGCCTAATGTTAACCATCATTTCTCAACATATCGTGTTTCCTGTTGTAGCATTGTAGAACAACAAATACCCGCTAAATATCTTAATCAGAATGTGCGAATCTGGATGAGAATGCGGATTGTAAATAATTTAACTTTGCAGATATTAAAATTCCTGCGGATCTTCCGCAGTTGCAGGTGCAAATGCGGATATCTGTTACAGCCCTAATGTAAATCTTTATTATCAATAATTCCTCTTCAAATTTAATCGAGTGTGTTATCAAGAATAGGATATGTAAAAAAACCTGCAGTTTATTCCGCATGTATCACTCGTTACCAATTTTTGGAGATTCATATGAATCGTCATATGAGAATGTTTTCTGTCACCATCTCTAATACCAATCTCATGTGCATCAGCATCTGCTTAGTCTAGATATCGCCACATTGCTAAAGAATTGTTTATATTATCAAATTCCATTGGTTATTGATAATGTAGTTAATAGAATTTTATAACTATTAATTGTTGTTTCTTAATATTTCTGAAAATTCCAGTAAGTTTAGATATTTTTTTTTATTTCGAATATGAAGCAATTTGAAATTGGAATATTATTATTAACAAAATGTTCTACTACTGTACTGAAATACGTAAAACAGTACAACTTTTCTTCTAAAAATCTAAAAATCTCCTAATTTTACTACGGTATTCGTTGATATTACGGTTAAAGGACTCTCCAGGTTACCGAAGGGCACTCAACATAACGTTTGGACTTAATAATGACTGGAACTTACTTGGTCGGTAGGCTAATGGCTAATATGTTCTAATTTTATTTTGACGAACATTGAATTTTCTAAATGATACATTGGATGCATTTTAGCTTTTCAAACGGTATAAATATGACATAGGAATTCTACGATATTCAGTCCCAGATACGTTATATGCTTTATATGTTAAGAAAATAAAAACAGTAATTTTTGTTTCATGTAGGTTCGCGGACGAACAAATGTCTTGTAACAATATTTGTTTATCGTCTATTGTCATTGAGGACACTGACGATGAAGTCGAATGGATTGAAGATAATAGTGAAAACGAATCGCCGATAGACTATATTGTTCTTGATGACGATGACAACGATGATAGTAGTAGCCCCAATGACGAACAACTCCAGTTTGTTACTAATCCGGAATTGCAAATGAAATGCGAAATCGGAGAAGTGAGCATAAAAGACGAATCTCTGTATTCCGGAACGGAAAGTATTTCATCAGATGGGAACCAAGCAGAAACTGGTAGTGGTTCAGACAAACATATAAATGTAACAGTACAAACTTTGGCAGGTGTAGAAGCCAAAGAGACAGCAATGGATGATGTAGATGCAAGTACTCCAAAAGAAGAAAAGGGAAACGGGAAAAATTTCGCTTCCTTGGCAATGACGCTTGGTGAAAAAGAACTTGGAGACTTGTTAGAAGCTGTCAAATCCAAAAGTGGCTCCAACGAGAGTCAGTCTATAGCAAACAGCAAAGGACCTTTTGCGGACATGAAAGGGAACTATCTTGACTTAAAGATGACTAAACGAGTTGATAAATCTGAAGTAGATGAAGCTGAAAGTATTCCAGCCACCATCACTTCTTCGGAAGATGATACAAAAAGGTTGGATTTATTAACTTTTTTAAAAACTGAATCAACCGATACTCCGTTGATTAAAACAGAGAATAATCAGAACGTTGAGGCCAATACAATTGAATCGAGATCAAAATCAAGGGCAGTATGGGTTTCAAACTTGAAGCGTTCCACGAAAGCTAGCGATTTAAAGCAGCACCTGAACAAGTTTGGCAAAGTAATTACAACTAAGATTGTAACTGACGGTCGAAGGAGTTTTGGTTATGCTGTTCTAGAAAGTTATAAAGATACTGAAAATTGCATTAAGAATTTGAACGATTCGGAATTCGAAGGTGGCAGAATAGTAATAGCCACGACCAAACCAAATGTGGAAAACAAGAACAAACCGACGATGGAAGATGAGGAATTGAAGTCAAATGAGGACAAAAATAACAAAAAACGTACCTATTCCACAGAAGGAAAAGAAAGAAAATCTAAAACAGTTCTTAAATTTACGAAGCGTCACAGGTCGCCGTCGATGGTTCCAATGACCACAAAGTTTAACGACAAACATCTTTCGCGGATCAAAGAATCCAGAATGGAACGAGAATATTTAAGGGAGAAACAAGAAAAGGAAAGGCTGAAAAGGAGGCTAGCAGAAGAAATGAAACGAAGCAGGGACGAAATGAACAGATTGAGGGAAAAAGTGGAAGAGCAACGTCTGATGGAACTAGAGCTGGAGTTGGAACGAAAGAAGAGGTTACGTTTGGAAAAAGAAATATTAGAACGTTTTGTTCATTCCGAAAAAGACCAAAGGTATGTGTCTAGGTCTTGACCATTTTATGTGTAAGTTTCCTATTAATGGGTATTTCAGGATGCCATGGAACTCGACAATTTCCAGCCAATGGAAAACGAATAGCATGGAAAGTCAATCTGGATCTGGATTTCCTGTTAACAGATATTCAGAATTTAACTATAACAGTGCCAATTGTAACACTTCGGGATTTCCTCAACCAACTCCCTACAATCCTCAACCCAACAATGTGCCACCACCTGCTCCAGAAATTAATTACAACTGTAATTCATGGGGGTATTCACAACCTTCTTTTTACAATTCACAATCCAACAATTTGCCAGCACCTGTTAATAGATATCCAGAAATGAATTACAACGGTACCAACTATAATAGTTTGGGATTTTCACAACCTGCTTATTACAATCCTCAACATCAACCAGCGCCTGACTACAAATATTTCGATCATCATTCTTCAAATAGAAAATACTAGTTTTATATTTTACACGTTTGTTTTTGAATTGCGTTTTAACGTTACATATTTCTTGTCTCAATTTCGTAATGATTTATTTTTTTATAATGTGTATGTCTATTATGAGTTATATAAATATAATAAATAGCTTCATTTAGATAAAGTGTTTGTTTTTTGAATCACTTTCAAACTGTCACAAGAAAACATCAAACGCTATCTAAGAAGAATTTAAGGTGATTTGATATTATATCGCACTCCTTCGAAGGTTCAAGATTTTGAAATTCCTTGATAATTTTCGTATTCCTTCGAAAGTTCACATGCTGTATGAAAAAATTTTTAAACATTATTAAAACCAAAAATCGTAAATAACATCAAACTTCTACCTTGAATATTTTTATAACTCATTTCAAGTAACCGAAAATGTGAAATAAAAAACCTTATGTCATTTTCATATGTTCAAATTTTCAATCGCTCGGTGGTACTTCTCAACGATATCCAAGCAGTCTTAAACATGACAGAAGCTGTTTTATCTGCTATAAGAGCCTAGTTTTGAGACGAGATCGCAGGGACAAACTGACTGACTGAGAAATCAACACCGTCCAAATTCTTGTTTCTATAATTGGGACGTTCAAAATTGACATAGTTCGCAGTAAAACTATTGCATTTATTTTTTTCTTTCAACTTACTAACTATAGACTAGAGCGGTTACTGATAGAATGCCTACTTTTACTCACGACAGACGTTATAGGGAATATCGTCTACATAGAAAAGAGATGTCAGGTAGGAATTGCAGCGAGCACTCATAAAGAAAAAGGAATAACAATACACCAGTTAATGTATAACATAAAGAGATGCAGATAGTAGAATTTTAGAATGTTGTCAGCATCGGACTTTAAAGAAAGTTTAACATTCTAAGGAATTTAGGACAACCAGACAGTTATAAAGCCGACCCTGATTTTTTGCTTAGGCACCTAACAAACTGTAACTGTTGCAGCGCTCACTATTATTTGGTTATCTCTTTTCACGTTGTCTATACTACTTAGAAAGCATTTCCTAACGCAGCAAATGACTACAGTCTCAAGTGGAAACAACGAAGATACATCCATTCTCACAGATTATTTATTTGGGACTTTGTCAATCGTGATGGTCCCAGCTATAAAAATGTTCCTTATATAATGTAGGTTAGCACTAAGAAAGGATCTTAAAATTCAACCCCTAAATGGCTCAAAAGAGGGTTCAAATTTTTTTGTACTTGATAAAGGCACAAGAAGCTTGAAATTTTGCCCAAAGGTCCCTTTTATCTACGAACTATCGTATAATTCACTATAATCGGGAATTTTACAAAAATTCCATTCTTGTGAAATTTTTTAGTACTTTACTTGCGTCTGCAGCTAATATAGAACCGAACGTTCTTTTCGAATTTTAAATCCCGCGTTCAATATTCAGTTCCGTGATTTGCTTTGAAGTTTGTTTTGTTTACTGATTTATAACCGAAATTCTTTCTCGTAAATCCTCTACTGTACAATCGAGTGGTGGATTAGTATGCATACGAATCGGTGATATTCAAATTTGAACGGTCGAAGTCAAAGCGATCGGTAATCGTAAGTGGGCATTACGTTTGTGAATCGTAATCGCATTCGTGAAGCACACAAACAACAACGAGTTAACAAAAGTATTAATCCGTATATTCCGAATGCATTCAATTTGCTCCCGTAATGACTGCTCTCATCCCCTCTCGCCCTCTATCTCTGTTTGATTAACATGCACGGCGTGTGCGTTTAAAAAAAAGACGAAGGAAAAAATATATGCGGCCCTGGTGCGACAGGCGCGGTACATCTCTAAACAAAGGGAATGGTGAATTTGAGGGAATACATAATCCAGTTCGTGCCGCAACACAAATCCTCGAGATGTTTGTGATTTCGTCGTGGGTATTGGTAGCATTCAACGGTATAGAAAAATGAAAATGGAATTAGTGGAGGCATTAGGTTGAATCATGTAGTATAGCTACAGTTATTAGATGACGTATTAGGGAAAGATAATTAAAAGGGGAAATTCTTTACTTAAGGGATATGTCTTGAAAGTCTGGATTTGAGGTTGCTTTAGTAACTTGCGGCAAGATAGCGAGTACGGAAGGGGATGGGTGTAGTGGAAATATCGTAGCTTCCTTGAAGGACTGGTGCGGAACTAGGAAAAATTGAAATTATTTTTTTGAGAGTATGTTATTCTTTGTGGTGTTATAGGCGGATGATGAGGATAACGTGGGTAGAAAGGGTTAGAAATGAAGAGGTATTGGAAATAATAGGAGAACAGAGGACTCTATGGAAGTCAATAAAAAATAGGTGAGATAGGTTGATACAACACCTTCTCAGGCATGAAGGTTTAGTCAGAGATATATTAGAGGCAGAAACAGGAGTTAAGAGGGGTAGAGGTAGATCTAGATTAGATCACTGTTGGCAAATAGTTAAGGATGTGGGCTGTTCTAGTTTTAGGGAAATGCGAAGTTTAGCTCAGGATAGGAAAGAGTGAAGGTACGTTTCCAACCAGCCTTAGGACTGACGACCTTGTGATGATGATGATGATATTATTCTTAGGGTGTGTTCCGAAATATAACCCAGTACACTGACCAGTGCTGATGACGTCATGAATCGACGCCATACTGTTGATTCGTTCCGAAATATACTGGCCAGTACATTGACGTCAAATTCACGCCATCTTGACAAAAGTGTTTATCCTTGTTTACAATAATTTTGCTCCAAAAGTTATTAAAGATTCCTACAATAAAAAAATTCCTCAAAGTCTAATACACACACGCGCGTTTGATATACTACTACGTAACACTTGTCTCACCAGTACAATATGGTGGCACACCAGTACAATATGGCGTCGATTCATGATGTCATCGGCACTGATCAGTATGCTTGGTTATATATATTGTAGCACATCCTTAATTCGCAATAAGTATTTTGGGTGGAGGACAAGAGGGTAGGAAAAGTGTCATTCTCATGGGAATTGCGGAAATTTTGAACTTATATACCATAAATATACCATTATTTAACTACATAATGAAACAATTATTATTTTAAACTTAAATTTATTTATTTAAATTTCTACTCATTTTCCCTCTCCTGTATACACCCCTATGATTCATGATACTGATTAGGGATTATGTATTAAAATAGTAAAAGTTGGTTTTGTTATTTCTTTTTTGTTTTCACGCGTCTCTAGAAAACTAGAAAGAAATCTGCAATAAATATTTCCAGTAGGAATAAATAGGATATGAGGACTTGCAGATTGTTTTCGACATGTGTTCGTTAATAATAATCGAAGCATAATCAGGTCTCTGGAGTAAATCCCTTGAGGGAGTAAGGCTTCTTTCGATAATTGCCATCTATACTTTTTTCTGATCTTTCGTTCGTCTTCTACCCGCTATTAATGTTAAGGTAAATGAATGTGAGCGAATGATGAGTCAGTCACTTAAATGTCGGGTAAGCGGAGTTTTCTCCAGAGGAGCAACAAGGTTGAGGTGGTGGTGTGCTGTTGGTTAATGCTTTGCAGTAGTGGGAAGATGTAAGTACAAGGGGACCTCATCGGTGCCAGGCAGCTTTTGTCACTAATTATGGAAGAAAGAGGCGCGGACCCGAAATTCAATTAAACGCCCTCGAGATGAGGAGACGCGAGAAATGTTTGCTCCTAATTAATTTTTTTTTCTTTTCGACCCCGAAACGTTTTTACAATCAAAAGCCTCTTCATTATTGGATGAAAAGTTTCGTTCGTTCGTTGCTACGCTAGCCGATTTAATATTAATTAATTATGAAGGAATTATTATTGTCGAGTTAAATTATGCCAGGACGTCCTTTTTTCTAAGGTTTCCCGTTCTTTTGTTTTCAAATTGTAAGTCCCCTTCTCTGGGAAAAAAGGAAGAGGCTTATGCTTGTTTCAAATATTTGAGAATAAAATTCCTTTATAACAAATTTAATGGCACGTACTTATATGTTTCAGTAAAAGAAGATTGAACTTATGCTAAATTCTGTTTCTTTTTCTTGTAGTAATAATAAAACAACTTTTGCCGATTTCATGAATTACCTAATTAAAGTTGTGTTTTAATATGTTAATACAACTTATTTGAAACGGCTAGAGGCATGCGCACATTTTCTCAAGGTCATATTATTAACCGTCTGAAACGAGTTGTACATGTAGGAATTAGGCAGTACTGTTTTGCGAATACATGAAGTAGGCAACCGTGCACATTAAGCAGCTGTGCTTTAAATTAGAGGTTATGATTTTCGTGTAATAATTGCTGAGTAATTGTTCGTTCAGTGGCGTAAAAAGTGTAAATGCGTATGTATAAAAAACAGTATTTAGTGTTTTGTGTGAACATATAGTTTAAAAATGGATAGGTATGTAATGGTGTGTTATTGAGAGAAAAAGAAGACAAATTAAAAATTGGTACAAAACATGGCATTAATAATTCCTTTATAAAGAAATTCTCTGAAATCGACCAAATTCAACATCTTGATTGTCAATACTTCTGTAAATCAATGTGCATGTCAAAAAGGTTTTTGTAAACAAAAGAAAGACATGATCACGGCAACACTCACTTCGTTCATAGTGTCTGCTCCTGAAATAACCGTATGAGCCTTTTTTAATCCAGCATTAACCAAAGAATGGCTTTATTTGGTTGCTTAGGATTTTAAAATTACGGTTGGGAAAGACACTCATATTTACTTCTAATGCGCCAAAGAACGTATAACTGTAAACTTTCGTAAAAAACGCTTATTTGGTATCAAAACTAAAAGCCATATAAATTAGCTTCGTCTTTTCTTGTTGCACAAAACTAGTCCTCTATTTGATTCCCATCAATTTTAAAAGAACATGTCCCAGCGAGTTTTCCCATTGAACGCTTTGTTCGTTGTATGCTGGGTGGAACGTATCAAAAAATTGCAATTGTATAGAAGTATTACATAGAAGACTAAAAAAATTGCTTTTTTGAATAATACGCGTAACTAAAATATATTTTATGTTTCTAAAACTACGAATTTTAATAAGTTATTTTGAATATTCGTATATGGGTACCCTATTATTTGTTAT